TTTAAATCTTCAACCTCCCAAACTTGAACCCTCTGCTTTGGACAGTCTTTTCATTGTCCCCTACCCATGTCATGGCCATTCTTATCTCTGAGCATTTGCTAACATTTTTCCCCCACCCCTGAAATGCCTCAGCTATTTAAATTTGACCCATTTTTTTGTGGCTCTCTTCCACTTCTACCTCCCCCAAGAAACTTTCCCTCCTCATTCCAGACCACAGCCATCTTTCCTTGTTCTGAGGTCTTCCTGCTGCCCTTACAGTCTATAGCATTCATTGTGTCATTTATTTAATCACATACTTTCACGTACTGTTATATTGTTCCCTAATTGTCTCTTGCATGTTTGCCTCATCTCTCTAATGAAAGCAGGCTTATCTTCTTATCTTCCTCCCCAGTGCCTCCCATAGTTATTAGAATTAGTCAGTAGAATGTAAACTTGAAGGCAGGGACTCTTTCTTTTTGCTTATATTTGTAACCCTAGTTCATATCACAGTGCCTGACACACAGTAAGTGCTTAATCAATGCTAATTGACTTGACAGTGTCTCATCCTGTAGGAACTCAACAAATGTCTATTGAACTGAATTGAAAAACAAATGAAATCACCCTAGTCAGGCCTGGTTTATGTAAGAAATCACTGATCCTAATTCTGGGGAAGTTGGGAAAAAGCAGGGTAGGATGGAAATAGGTGGTCATCCATACAGATTTGCCTCAAAAGCACTGGGAATACATACTAACCCTACATGTTTCTGTGGCTTGAAATTCCTATAAGAAGGTAGGGACAAAGTATTTTAATCTAAGTTACAGATAAAGGCTTAATTACAAATACCCCTAATTATAAAGTAGAATATTTTGTTCTTAATTCTTTAAAGGAATTTGTATTAGCTATTATCTTATTTGAGAAAACATGTAATTAGATCAGATGAGATAATATATGTAAGGTACTTTGTAAACCTTAAAAAGACATATAAATGCTGCTATTATTATTATCAGTAGTAGTAGTAGTAGTAGTAGTAGTAGTAGTAGTAGTAGTAGTAGTAGTAGTAGTAGTTGTAGTATTTCATGTAAGGGGTAGAATGGTATAAAAATGTACATTTTAAAGCACAGCTTCTGTCAAGTCCCCCCAGCAGTAAGGAACAGTGGACTGAGTTCCAAGAGACCTAGGCTTCAGGCTTAGCTCTGCCACTAATTCATTGTGTGACTTCAGGAAATTCATCTCAGCTCTCTGTATCTCAGTTTTCTTTTCTCTAAAATTAAGTTCTTGGATTACATGGCTTCTAAGGTCCTTTCTAGCTCTAATGTTTTAAGGGTCTATGAAACCTAGGAAATACCAACATCTAACAGATCATTCTTGTCCAGGAATTACTCATGATATTCCTTTCACCTAAATCTCTTTTCCTTCCACATATTTGCCCATCCAAAATACTAGTGATCTCTAGGTCAAAGGCCCAGCTCATACCTCATTCTCTGAACATAGTATTGATGGGGTCATATAATTTTATAGAACTGGAAAAGACCTTCTAGTCCAATCCTTTCATTGTTCAGATGATGCCAAAAAATGGTGCCAAAAGAGAAAAAATCACTTTCACAAGACACATAACAAGGAGATGAGAAAACGTACCATACTGTGGGGCCAAAAAGGCAGGGCCTACAAAGTGAGAGCCCTATTAGAGGTAGCTCAATTTGCATATTTGAAATATATCCTCCAACTAGATACTTCATGGTGCTCATTGCCAATCCCACACAAAATTTCCAACTATGTCCATATCTAAGGAAAAACTCGGAGAGCGACATAATCTCCAAATAAGATCTGACTCTGAAATCACCTTTGTTGTGCTGCTCAGAGGTTGTTTTTTTTTTTAAGTCTGTGAAAGTTGTTTATTTTTGCAATGTTGTTATTGTGTAAATTGTTCTCCTGGTTCTGTTCATTTTGCTCTGCATCAATTTATACAAATCTTACCAAGTGTCTCTGAAACCGCCCCTTTCACCATTTCTAAAAGCATAATATTATCCCATTACATTTGTATACCATAATTAGTTCAGCCATTCCCCACTTGGAACCCCCTTAGTTTTCAGTTTTTTGTTATAATAACAAAGAATTACTATAAATATTTTTATGCACAAGAATCCTTTTCTTTTTTCCTTAATATCTTTGCAATACAGACAGTTCTCACTTTATGCAAATTTGACTTTATATAAATAATTCTGTTGTTTGTTTGACAGTAGGGACTGGTCATTTCGGTCTTTGTATAGTGCTTGGCACAAAATAGGTACTTGATAAATATTTGATTGATTGGCCAGTTATAGTTTAATTAGAGACAGATAACTAATACATATGGAAAATAGTTAATAATACATGGCATAGTGTAAAGAATACTAGTTTTGGGGTCAGAAGAGCCAGGTTCAAATCCTGCCTCTGAAGATTACTACCTATGTGACTTTAGCAAGTCTATTAACTCACCTTGGCCTCAATTTTCTCATTTCTAAAATGAAGGGATTGGTTTCAATGACCTCTGAGGTTTCTTCCAGGTTTGAATCTATAACGCTATGGCAAGGTAATAGTCAAAGAGCCAAACAAGTGATAGAATAGGAGGAGATCAGAGAAGGAAGAAAGATGGCATGGCCGGGTGGGAAGAGCCCCAAACCGGCAATCAGGAGAATTTGCATTCCAATTCAGACTCTGGCACCAGCGGGTCATGTGTCTTGTGAAAGTGATTTTTTCTCTTTTGGAACCATTTTTTGGCATCATCTGAACAATGAAAGGATTGGACTAGAAGGTGTCTAAGGTCCTTCCCAGTTCTATAAAATTATATGGCCCCATCAATACTGTGTTCAGAGAATGAGGTATGAATAGAGCTGGGCCTTTGACCTAGAGATCACCAGTATTTTGGATGGGCAAATATGTGGAAGGAAAAGAGATTTAGGTGGAAGGAATATCATGAGCACTGAATTTGGAGCCAGAAGACCTAGACTTGAATCCTGGATGTCACTTAACTGACTACGTGACACTGCAAAAGTTACTTGATCTCTTTGGATTAGTTTCCTTACCAGTAAAATGAAGGGGTTGGACTAGATATATCTCAGGCCCCTTCCACCTCTAAATCTGTGATCCTGTGAGGACAGGAAAAATAATGGCTGATATTTATATCAGCTTTTACTGTCTCCTAAGATTGTACATACACTTATGTATTTATGTAACTTCAGTGGCTCCCTATGCCCTCTAGGAAAATATATATAAATTCCTTTGACATTTCAAGATCTTTATAACCCAACCTCTTCCTATTTTCCCACTCTTCTTTTTTTTCATTTTTCTTTTTTTTTGGCTGAGAAATGGGGTTAAATGACTTGCCCAAGGTCACACAGCTAGTAAGTGTTAAGTGTCTAAGGCCAGATTTGACCTCAGATCCTCCTGACTCCAAAGCTGGAGCTCTATTCACTGTGCCACCTAGCTGCCCGTATATAAATAGTTCTGAAAGAAATCCGCATTCCAAAAAAAAAAGTCTATGTTAACTTTACCAGACAGTACTCTGCTTTTTCTCTTTATTCTTGCCCCTTGGCTTAGGGCTCTGTGGCCTCTACCCTCCACCCCCCAAAAAAATCTGTAAGTAAAAGCAGAAGAATGGACCACTTGGAATGACTGTCACCACTGCACTGCTGCCAGATGTGGAGACTTGGCTTGAGACTTTCAGCACGGACAGGGGAGATCTTTTCTCCCCTGGGCCCAAGTGTCCTGCTTCTGATGTCTATCTTCTATACATCGGGTTCATTCATCTGTGCCACCCCACCCTCCCTCACCTATCCTCTCCTGTCTGTGTCCATGTCCAGTCCACAGGTACCTCACCTCCTCCCACCCACATGTATTCCACATCCTACTCTTGTTTTTCTGTCTGGGCCCCTGCATTCCTCGAACCATGTGCCTTGCCTCCTCCCTCCAGAGGAATAGATCTCTTCCTACTTTTCTTCTTCCCTCCCTTCCCATGGCCAAATTCACATGATGTAAAAACCAATTTCCAAAGAGGTCTCTACAGAACATACCACTTTATATAGAGGTCTGCAGAAGGGACCACTTAGATAAAGTGAGAACTGTCTGTATAGGTTTAATGTGATCTTCCTGAGTTAAGGGAATGCATGACTTACTGAGCACTCCATTTAGAGGGCTTTGACACTACTTGTCAGTCTTCAGCAGCTAGAAACAAAAGAGCTTAGGCTATAAAGCAAGAATAATTAGCTATGGCAGAAAGCTACCACCACACATCTGGGGCTGGGGTGAGATCATTTCCTGCCCCATTTTTCTTCCCCACCTGCTCAAGTGAAGGAGCTCTTCTCATGTTTTCCTTGGGCACAAAAATTCTTAGTTACAGTTCTGGTGACAGACAGCATTTCTTCTCTCTAGAAAGGGGAGGGAGGCAAGCCGAATTTCCTCTCTCTTTGTTAGCCTACCTGCTGACATAACTTGGAGTTTAAATTACAGTTTCTCCCTACTTCTCAGCAGTTTAAATGTACATAAGTATAAATTCTACTCCCTCCTTGATCCCCATTCTCTCTGACTGTTGGTTTCCATTTCCTGGGCCACATCTTTAAAAGTATTCCAAGCAACAATTTCCATTTATTAAGCTCTGCTGACCGCAGCACCAAGAGGTGGAAGGTGCAGAATAAATAACATTTTCTAATAATAATCATAATAGTAACTAACATTTATGTGGTACTTACTATGTTCCAGGCACTGTGGTAAGCTCTTTAGAAGCATTATTTCATTTGATCCTCACAACAACCCTGGGAAGTAGATGCTATTATTATCCCCATTTTACAGATGAAGAAACAGAGACAGACAGGTTTAAGTGACTTGCCCTGGGTCACACAGGTAGTAAATGTCTGAGGTCATATTTCAGTTTGGATCTTCCTGACTCCAGGCCCAGTTCTCTATCTACTGCATCACCTCGGTGCCTCTAGTAAAACCCAGACCAAATTTCCTTTGATAGGAGAAATTTAAGAAAAAAAAGTCCTACCTTGCCAGCCAGGTTTACAGACAGGTTTCACATCCACTTGTACTATGACGCTTTCTGTTGCATGTTTTTGGCCACAGTCGAAGGCAGTGACCAAGATTTCATACTGGTGTTGCCTGTCATAGCTGAGTTTCTCTGTGTTTCTGATATTACCTGAAGAGATTAATAAAACAAAAAGAAAGAAGACATGTACCCAAACTGAAAATCACTTCAATATCCATAACCCACAATGATTTTGATTTCCTTCAAATCCTTCAAATTCCTTCCTTCCCTCCCCCCCAAAAAAGAGGATGAAATTTCCCTGGGTCCCTTTTCTCCAAAAATTAAGATGGCAAATGAGTGTATCTCTTCTAATTAGCATCTGCTTAAAAATCCCAATAATTGCCCTGTGGTAATTGCTGGCCTGAGGTTCCCTGACTGTACAGTGTTGGTAAAACTGAGTAGCACTAAAATAGTAATGAATGAGTTAATGTTTGTATTTGTTTTGCTCCCAGAAAAACTACCCCTGGAACCTGTTCACGTGTGAGTATAATCCCTATCAAATCCAGCACGGAGCTCACCTGCAGCAGACTCTTTGGAAATGTATTTAAACATGTGGAGACAGGAAATACCACTTTATCTCTGAGCACATTTCTCAGGCCCTGTCCCCAGGAAAGTTCACTGCCATTTTCTGATATCATTTTGCTACCCAAATGGGAAATTAAATCAGCAAGAAAAATGCCCTCTCCCTTTTGACAGCTACGTAAGATAACAGATTCCCTGCCCTGATGACAAAGTCATTACATCTCTCTTAGGGAGAATGAGAAATTCTTTTCAAGTTATTTCTTGTGGTGGGTTTATTTTTATGTTCTGAAAAATGTCCTGCGACCAATAGGTATAATTTTATTTTTTTTTATTATTGTTGCTCTTGTAATGTGGCTCTTACTTTCAAGGGCCCCTAGGTAATGCCGAATGTGTATTTATTTATTGAGTTATTTATCCATTATTTTTATTCTGAGATGAAATCTTCTGTAGACAAGAATAACCTTATTATCGGTTTCTTCAGAAAAGTGGAACCTAGTCTAACCTTCTTGTTTTATATATTAAGAAACCGAGGACCAGAAAGGCTAAGTAATTTGATCAATGTCATTTAAGTAGAAAGTGGCAGAGAAGGGTTTTGAACTTAGCTCCTCTGACTTCAAATCCACCATTGTACCATTTGTTTATAAAAGGATTGGATTAATCTTATGGAAAAATGGTCAGGAAAACAGCTATTGTTCAGTTGTTTCAGTTGTGTCTGACTCTATGTGACCTTGTTTGGGGTTTCTTGGCAAAGATAGTGGAGTGATTTGCCATTTCTTTCTTCAGCTTTCTCCAGGAAACTGAGGCAAACAGGGGTAAGTGACTTGCCCAGTGTCACATAGTTAGTATATGTCTGAGGCCATATTTGAACTCAGGAAGACGAGCTCCCTAAAATCATGGTTGCTCTCATAGGAACAGTATTTCCTAAGCCTCTGTCACACAGGTTGAACTAGCTTTTCCTAAGGTCCAACCCTACTCAGGCTAGGTTAATTTTTATTTAAAAGGTATTTGAAGTCTTCCTTGAGAATTAATTGGCCCAGAGGACTAAGGCTTGAATCACTGATTTGGCTTCCTGGTAGCTTAGGTAAAAGAGCCAGGAGGCAGAAGCTTGCCCTTCTCTCAGACTTCTGATCAGTGAGTTATTCTCAAATGAATTAATGCGTGTAGCTTTGCTAATATGTTTTCTATTCTATGGCTAAGTAAAGTTCCGTTTGTGAATTGTTAGATTATCTATGAGTGTCTCATTTTATTCTGATCCCAAATTAGAATCACTTCATCAGCCTGAGTCTGTCCTAGCAATGTCAATGAAACACATAAAAATCTACTCAATATGTTTGAATTCTATTTCATCTGAATTGTATGGCTCGTTCAAGTGAGAAAGTATAGCTTATGCATTAAGAAAGCTTAAGAAAACTGACTCATTGGCTTATGGGACCCAAGAAAAGAGTCATCACCTTTCCAGACCTCATTTCCCTCATGTGTAAAATGAAGATAAAGATACCTGGACTATGTAATTCACAGAGTTGTGAAGAAATTATTCTGTAAACTGTTTTTTAAAAAATCCTATAGTAATCTGAACTATTAAACTATGGTGAAAAAGTTGTGGATTTGGAGTTAAAGAGGACTGAGTTCAAATCTCAGCTCTGCTACTTACTATCTATGAGGTTTTGTGGCTGTTCAGTTGTTTCAGTCATGTCTGACTCTTTGCGACCCCATTTTGGGTTTTCTTGACAAAGTACTGGAGTAGTTTGCTACTTCCTTCTCCAGCTCTTTTTACAGACGAAATTGAGGCAAGCAGAGTTAAGTGACTTGGCCAGGGTAACACAGCTAGTAAGTGTCTGAGCCCGGATTTGAACTCAGGAAGATGAGTCTTCCTGACTCCAGGCCCAACGCTCTGTGTACTATGGCACCACCTAGCTGCCCCATGACCTTGGGTAAATCATTTTAAAGGATTACTGCTTTGGAGTTTAAAGGGACTTTAGGGGTCATCTAAGCCAACCTCCTCATTTTACAGATGAAGAGACTGAGGACCTGATAGTATCTTGATCAAAGTCTCTGAGGTAGTAAGTGGAAGAGAAGAGATTTGTATTCAGGTCCTTTGATTCAAAGTCCAGAACTGTACCATTCATGTATAAAGTGAAGGGACTGGATGAAAATGCCTCTAAGATCTCTTCCAGATGTAAATGTCTTTGGGCCTCAATTTCCTGACAAATGAGGGATTTGGAATAAAAATGACACAAATTCCCTCCAACTCTGAATCTATGATTTGAGTGTTTAAAAAAAAATATTCACTGCTTGCATGGTATTATGCTAAATGGGATGCGAGATATAAAGAACCATGAAACAGAGCCTGGAGCTAGGAACTCCTCCTGTCACTACTACTTACTTACTCAAAGCAATTCAGATTGTTTCTGTGCTTTAAAAAGTTGCCTGGTTTTAATTTAAGAACTTTGAGAAGCCATATCCTCTTATTCATGCTGCTTGGGCATCACTCAACGTGTGGGAAGCCAGGATTTACTGATCAGTGTCTGAGGACTGGCTACTGAGTGCTGCCAACCAGATGGTATAAAGTGTTAAGTGCTGGCCTTGTAATCAGAAAGAAATGGGTTTGAATTCTAACCTCAGATAATTCCTACTGTATATCCTAGGCAAGTCTGTTAACTTCTCTAGGCTTCAACATCCCCATCTGAAAAATGAGAATGACAGTACTGGGTCTTTGGGATGCTCAAATGAGATAATGTAGGGAAAGCTCTTTTAAATTCTTAAAGTGGCATATAAAAGTCAGAATTTTTTTCCTATTAATTCAGTTTCCTTGTTCCAGATAGCATAGGCTATTTTCAAACATAAAACCATTTCAGTTGCTTTAATATATGGTTCAGTCCTTTTTTTTTTTTTTTAAAAAAGATAGTTGAAGGGGCAGCTACTTAGTGTAGTAGATAGAGCACTGGAGTCAGGAGGATCTGAGCTCAAATCTGGCCTCATACTTTTGACATTTACTGGCTGCGTAACCCTGGGCAAGTCACTTAACCACAATTGACTCAGAAAAAAAAAGACAGTTGGTTCAGTTGAAAGTGATTTAAGGTATTTTGGGCTTCCTGGCTGAGTTTTATAAATCCTTTCAATATTTCACAAAGTTTTTTAGGCCTACTTCTGAGGCCATGTTTGTGTCTGTATTAAAGATGAACAATTCAGTAGGGTCCAAAATACTGTTACTGAATGTGATAAGCAAAAATAAATGACTCTTAACACTTACTAGAAAAATGAATTACAAATAGAAAGTTCAACTCTCTGCTTTCTAAAGTTAAATTTCTTAAGAGATACTCATCTTGAAGGAAGAAACCTCTATATCCAAACTGTGTGACATAAGCAGACCACAGATTGTTGAATATGGTACAGGGATAATTATACCAACTGAATCCTTGGTCTCAATTTGTTGCAGCTACAGTTCCATAACAAGTTCAGATGAAACTGTTTGAAAAACTAATTTAGTTCCTCCTACAACAAAAACTTAACGTATGGGAAAGTTATCTTTAATTTTTTTTAAATGCTGTATTTTTGCCATAGTAGAAAATAACCAGAATATCCAAAATTGTGATCAAAGGTTTAGAACTTTTGCAAAGTTCAAATGCTCACTTTGCTTTATGAAGCAAAGTAAATCTGTCTGTTAAGTTAAATGATGGCTTTTCAAATTGGTGCTGTTTCTCCTAAAAGGACTTTTTGAAGGTATATCCAGACAAAATGTATGAGCTCCTTTTTGGTTAGGATTGGCTACTGTATCCTTATATGAGCAGCAGGCCCTGAGCCTGCTCTCTGACTTGGTGAGATTGGGTATGTACTAATGGGGAAATGGCCCAGATCTACTACATATTTTTTTTTCCTGGAAGGGTAGACAGACCATTCATGTATCATTAAACCATTAGTTACTTCATGCTTGTGATGTGTACAAAGCAATACGTAGTTCACAAGGAATTGCAAGACAGGTCCTCTAAAATGCAAAACACATGACACTGTTCTTAGTCTGACTTAGTCATTCCATTAATAGGTTGGTTTAATGACAAAACTGTTTGAAAAATTGAAAAAATAAGAGGGGGGGAGAGTTGGAAATGTGGCATCATGCAAGCCCAAAAAAATGAAGAAGGAAGGAGGGAAATAAAAAGAATAAAGGAAATGAAAAAAAAAAACAATTATGGTAGAGATTACAGGACTAGGAGATGGGGATTCTGGTCTTTGCTCTATTTCCAACATTAGACATATTTCTTAACTTTTCTGTGCTTCAAATTCTACATTGCTAAAATGAAGGCATTGGAGAGAATAAGTATCTTTGCCCAGCCTATATGACATGGTTGTTATATTATATTTCATTTCTTGCCTCTTTGTCTTTGCACAGGTTGTCTTCCATGCTTAGAATATTCCCCTGCCTCACCCCTTCTCCCCTCAAGTACCATCTCACTGAAGATGCATTTTCTGATTGTCTCTGTTGTTAATGCCCTCTCCACAAACTATTTTGTATACATCTTTGATTTACCTATCTGTCTATCGATTGTAGCTCCCTACTATTATGTAAGCTTTGTGGGCAGAACTGTTTTGTTGTTTTTTTTTTTTAAATCCACAGTAATTACCACAGGATGTTGTACATATTACGGTGCTTAATAAATATTTGGTGACCTATTATAGCCAGTGCCTCTAGCCTTTGATGGGAAACCTAGAAGACAAGAAAATGTATCCAGGAACTCATAGGTGAAAATTCTGTCCATATTTTTTGGCCAAATGGCGTGACCCTATGAGATCAGCTGTTTGTGGAGAATTGATATCTAAATCAACTAACTGGATATACCAGTTGTTTTAGCTGTGGTCTAACCATTACCAAAGGCTTACTCTCCTTATTCTAATCAGCTCTAGGAATCATCACTGAATTTTGTGCCCAACAGGAAATGAGGTCTGGTCATGATTCTGAAACATCTTAAAGTTGGAGTTAAAATGAAATTTCCTATGTGAAGCCACCAAGGGCTTTTAGCCTGCAAAAGGGTGACTCCCAAGGTGGACCCCCAAATTTGTCAGGACATCTTTGAATCATCTACTGCCAGATTCTTTGCTTCACAAATGCTGCTTGTGATTTTTCAAGGTGCATAGGAAAGTCAGCTGTGAAAGTAGTGAATGGAGGCTAATTTGGATGTTCATTAAGATGGGAGGGTCGTCTAGCTCTTTCCACACATTCTTCCTTCATTAGTTTGAGGACCACAGTTGGAACATCATCACGAGTCAGCAGATGCTTCCCGAGTGTGCCAGTAATCTACTTCAACTCACGTTATAAACCAAAGATGAAGGCAGAGGCCTAGAAAAAGACCATTATTCACTTTTAATGAGACAGCCAGGGAAATAAATTGGCATATGTTACTTAAGTAGCTCATCAAAGGTGAGTAATTATCTTTCTCAGCTGGGACAGTAAGCCCCTCTGATAAAGGAATTTGCATATCAGCTCTGATTGGTTTGTAATTATCCAGCACTCAGTTGTGCAGAGGGGGGAGGAACTTGGTCAACAGTAGAATCTTGAAGACTCATCACAAATGCAATCTTGAGCCACTTATCTTCAGAGGAGGAAGATTGAGATGGGTCTTTCCATTTTGGGCCACACAGCCAAGCAAATGGCACCAGCAGCTCAGAGGTGAAAAATTCAGTCAAATTTCTTTCTGGCCAAACTTTGGGATTCCATGAGAAAAGCTGCCTATGAGAAGTTAAGGTGTTAGTCAGCTAATTAGGTGTCCTAATTATTTCAGTATTTATCCACTCATTACCAATGCCTGGCTTTCCCTTCTCTGACTTTTGAACTTATTATCTGCATTACAGCATATTGTTTTCTGTTTTATGAGTATTAGATTTGTCTCCTTAAATCAGATTATAAGCTCCCTGAAGACAAGGATCATGTCTTCTTATATCCTTCAGCAAGCAAAGGTCAGCCAGCCAGTTGGTGTAGTGGATAGAGTGCTAGAATTGACATCAGGAAGACTTGAGTTTCAATCCTGCTTCAGACACTCTTTAGATGTATGACCCTGGGTGAATTGTTTTGCCTCTATCAGCCTCAGTTTCCCCCTACATAGAATGGAAATAATAACACCTAATTCATAGGGTTGTGGTGAAGTTCAGAGATGATTCATAAGGTGCTTTGCAGACCTTTAAATGACATAAAAATGTTATTTATCATCATCATTGTTGACACATAGTATATTCCCTATAAATAGTCACTGATGAAATATTAAGATATCTATATTGGCATTTGGGTCAAACTGCTATGTTTTCTAAAAATGAGAATTTTTAAAATTAGAAATAAAAGGAAATATCTTTAGTGACCTACTGTCCCTGATTAAAATTGCTTTCCAAATCTTGTCATTTGGAACTGGTAGAGGGATTTTCACTGGACTCCAGAAAGAACTTTAAGGAAACTTTCTTGATTTAAAAGGTGGGATTCATTTGTTTGTTTGTTTTTGTTTGTTTGCCAAGAGCAAGGGGGCACATATAGATCAAAGAATCATAGATTTAGAGCTAGAAGGAAACCAGAGGCCATCTAGTCCAGCTCCTCAGGCTACAGATGAGAAAACTGAGGCCAAGAAGGGTTACATTGTCCAAGGTCACATAGTGGAAGAGCTGGGATTCGACCCTGATCCATTAACTCTAAATCCAGAGCTTTTACCATTATATCCTATTGCTTCCAGAAACCACCATCAGCAAGTAGTTAAGGTACAGTTGACATTTAACAGAATTAACTCCCTAGGGAAAGTTCTTTGGTACATATCTGTATAAAAGCTGATGAAAACTTTCTGTCAAATCTGGTTAGCTTTACATGTCTAAATCTTTGCAAGCACTAAGATGTTCAGCATTGTATGAATAAAGTATCCCTATGTGATTTTGCTTTTCAGCCTCTTCTCTGTTTTTAGTACCAAGAGTATATTGAGTTTAAAATCATCTTTGAGACATTGCTAATAACATGGATGTAATTCTCTAGTGCAACTTAACGGGATATTAGGAACTCAGCATGAGGAAGGAAGAGGCTTTGGCATCATAGGGCACATTGTAGGCACATAAACTGTATTTTGAATTCTGGCTCTACTTTCAGAACGAGGAATTTGTTTTGGTTTTGTCCATGTTTTCTCTCTCAAAAGCACTCACCATTTCTGTCAATGGCAAAAGGCACATCACTGGTGACGATTTCATAATTGCATATCTGGCTATACTGGGGAGAACAGTCTTCGTCTATGGCTTCCACTTGCAAAATGCTGTCATAGATCTTCCCCTCAGTCACCACAGCCTTATATATGGTCTCCTTAAAAGTTGGTGCAAACTCATTCACATCTTTCACCTGAATGTGGACCACTGCCCTAAAAACATATAAAAAAAAAGAGATGGAGGGAATGGGCCAAAAACAACAGTTAAATCTGACAATCTATGGTTTGGAAGGCATCTCAGAAATTCTCAGGTCCAACCTCTAATTTACCAAGAATTCCCTCTATAATATCTCAAATAAGTGATCATCCAGCCCTTGCTTGAACACTTTTATGAAAGGAACTTCACTGTCTCTGAGGGTAGCCCATACTATTTTTGGATAGCTCTAATTGTTAGAAAGTCTCCCCTCATATCAAGCTAAAGTCTCCTTTTCTTTGACTTCTACCCACTGTTCTTGGGACTGCCTGTTGGAGGCAAGCAGGATAAGTTGCCACATGACAACACTTCAAGGTCCAAATCTGGTGGGGTGGGGAGGGTCTACTAGGGAGTTCCAATTATGGATCATGTGCTTTGTCATTTCCAGCAGAGCTTTGCATTTTGCTTGCTTAGTTACCATAGTTATTTCTTCAGGTCAGGGATATCACAGTCTCAATGCGTCCTGAGCACTAAGTGTTATTGGTAGATCCTGGGGGCTCTACATGCACTTTGGAGGAAATCAGAGACTGGCCCTGGGCTTAGTACAACCATAAGCAGGGGGAGGAAGTGATGCAGTATTAAAGTTGGAATCACCAGCTATTCAATTGATTTATAAAGTCTTGTCTAAACCTGGGCCCTTACTTTTCCCACCAAGACAAGGAGTACAAATCAGGGTGGGTGGGGTTGGGAGGACTCACAAGACATGATGATATGGAGCACTGATGTATCCTCATTTTTCACCTGGCTGTACTACTTTGGGACTTTTCCATCATGCCCCCACCCAAGTTGAGTGCCTTCCGTGGCTCTCTGCTAACCTTACTTTTCAGCTACTTTTGTGTGTTGTCTTCCATTATTAGGTTGTAAGCTTCTTAAGGGCTGAGACTAATTTTTTTTTCATATTTGTATCCCTAGCACTTAGCATGGTGCGTGGCACATCTTAGGTGCTTGATAAATGTTTATTCACCAGCAAGGTGATCTTCAAAAGTGGAAGAGCTACCCAATATGAAAGGGGAAATGAGACATAAATACTATTTCTTTATATTTCTTTCTCATTATTTTCATCAATTAATTTTTAAAGCAATAGTTTCTACTGAGTTTTCATGACATATTTTTAGCAGATCTTTTCCAGTAGTTGAACCAAGAGGGAAACCTTTATAGAATAGGAAGGTTTCCTCTACTTCACCACTAAGAAACATCACCAAAACCTTTGGAACAAATGCCAAAGAATTAGTGAAACTGGGAAACTCTGGGTATACATAGGGTCTTTGTAAGTAAAGTCATTCTTCTAAAATGAAAGGTACCCCCAAATAAATTATCATTTATAGAGGCTATAGCATTCTGTATTCATTTCCTTGCTATTCACTAAGCATCAAAGCAACCCTTCAACCTAAACACCTGCAATAGCCATGGCTTTGATTCAGGGACTAGGGAATTGTTTTTGTGACTCACTTGTGAGACTTCTTCCAGTTGGTTTCATGAGGTCCTGCACCACAGTCATAGGCCTGGATGATGAATGTGTACTCCTTCTGGAGTTCACAGTCAATTGGGCTTTTTGCTCGGAGCCGACCTTCTCCGGATGTCTTGTTTAGCACTACAGCTTCGAAGGGCATTTCTTGACCATGGATTTTAAAAGCACAAATTTCACCTGTAAAGTATAAAAGAAAAGAAAACAATAAGTAGAATCAGCTGAGAATCTCTTGACAGATGACTGTGTTTGGCAACTGACCATATTTGTAAACTTGAAACATATTCAGAATTTTTTAATGGATATGCACAAATGGATGAATTCTTTTAAAAATAGTATTATTTTAATTAAGAGCATAAAATCTTGGCTGGATCTTTAAAAAAAACATTTTATTTAGCTCACTGATTTTATAGAAACCAAAGAAAGTGAGGCCCATGGAGGGTCAGAAACTTGGCCCCTATGGAGAGAGGCACTGTGGGAAGAAATAGGAGAAATGAATTTGGCTTTTAAATTCATCTTTATAGGAGATACTTTTGTTTGGCCTTCAAGCAAGCAGAATCTTTCCTAGCTATGAACATGAGCCCCAGTCCCCTAGTTTTACCCCCTTTTCCTTATTTCCTTTTCTCCCTGAAGTATTTTACTTCATCTACCTTTCCATTTCCTGATTTTGAGTCAGAAAGTAGTTAGATGTGTATTTTCTCCTTTGGGCCACTAAAGTAAGGCAATGAGTTCCTGTCCCTCTTTACTAATCAGTCCTCTAGTATCCTAGAAAATGTAGAATCACAGATTTATAGTTGGAAGAGAACTAGGGGGCCATCTGCTTCAACCCCTTCATTTTACAGATGAAGAAAGTGAAGCCCGAGGCTATCAAATGACTTTCCCAAGGTCAGGAGCAGCAGAGGCAAGATATGAGCCTAGGTCCTTTGTTTCCTATATCAAGCTCCTTTCCTCCACACCATAGTGCTCCCTTAGCTTTTTCAGTCCCAATGCTTTGTTTCATTAAGAACTTTACACACACATTGTTGCTAAATAGGTGCATTCCTCCTTCTCAGCATGATGTATGTTTAGTTTGAGTGATTTTCCCTGTGGAAATACTTAAGTGGTGAGAATGTATTTTTCATTATACATCAATCAGAAAACAATTCTTACTTGAGCACCTTCTATAGGGAAGGTACTATATTACAATACTTTCTGACCCCTTGAGGTAGGTCTTGCAAGTATTATCCCAAAGAAAAGGGGGTACAGGGAAGCTAAGTGGATTGCTCATGGTCATACAGCTAGTATGTACTGAAGCAAGAAGGGAAGCTAGGTGGTGAAGTAGATAGAGTGCTAGGTCAGGAAGACTCATCTTCCCAAGTTCAAATCCAGCTTCAGACACTTACGAGCTATGTGACCCGGAGCAAGTCCTTTAACCCTGTTTCTCTTAGTTCCTTCTCTGTAAAAAGAGTTACAGAAGGAAATGCCAAACCACTTCAGTATCTTTGCCAAGAAGACCTCAAATGGGGTCATGAAGAGTCAGACACTACTGAAAAAAAATGACTGAACAACACCAAGCTAAGGTAAGAACTCTCATCTCCTGACTATTATGCCACACTGCCTCTCCCTGAAAAGAAGGAAATCAATATAATATAGAGTCCTATCCACATGCATTTGGCAATCTAAAAGCACAGTGTTTTAACACTGGTACAGACCTTAGAGATCATCTAGTCCAACCCCTCATTCTTCAGATGAGGAACCCCCTACCCAAGATTACCTAGTGAGTTGTAAGTAGTGAGTGGCATCATGGCAGGAATCCAGATTTCCTGATTCTTAGGTAGGTGTCTACCTAAGGTAAGCATTTTTATTTTCATTTATTCTTCTAGCTTCTGGTAGTAGATACTAGATTTGGAGTCAGAGGATCTGGGGGTAAATCCTAGCTCTACCACTTGCTACCTGTGTTATCTTGGGAAAGTCACTTAGCTTCATCTGTAAATAAGGGAGTTCAACTAGATTGGCCTCAAAAATCCCTTCCAGTTCTTTATCTGTCACCATGTAACTGACACAATATATGGACCTGACAATAGCCTACCTTTTGCAGAGTCAGATTACCTCTGTTCCACTAAAATTAGAAGAGATCCGGGATTACTGAAAGAGTGGGATGCCAGCCAGGGGAATGGCCTTCTGCACTCTTGATATGACACTTATCAAAGTGTATAAAATATAGAACTTCAAAGACTGTGAACTACAAGAATATTCTCTAAACAGACCCATTATTTGTAAGTACGCACAACAGATGCTCAACAACAATAGAACCCCACACCTGGGATATCTGTTCTGATTCACCACTCACAGAGGGAAATAATTCCCCACTTAACAGCAGTTTTCCTGTGGTCTTCACTAACAATGTTTCCAAAGATGGGCAATCAATAGCAATCTTAACTTCAGGCTTTTGTTTTTATTATTTCATTGATTCACAACTTGATTATGAGCAATATGTTTTTACACCATCAGACTCTGGTATTTCCTCAAAGGCACCTCATTGTGAAATGGACAAGACAGAATGATTATAAGACAGGCCCAAATGAGAAGGCTGTTTTCAATTAAGTCTCTTATCCCCCTAGACTATTCTGCATTTCTCTATTATCATCTTGGTACAACAATGTCTTTAGGGGTTCAGAAAAAATATATTCAGGGAGATAAAAGAGTTTAATCTGATCCACAAGTTTGATTTCTGCTGTGAATTAGTTTGGGATGAAGTAATGAACTGCTAAAGTGCTTGACTTGTGCTTCCCTTCCCAAGATCAATGGTAGCTTGTGAATATGACTAATGAATGTGTCCATACTGATTCTGTGGGATTCTTAGAAATGCAAGAGTCACAATGATTCCCAGATCAATCACTCCATTTCTCTTTCATAAGCTAAATTAAAATGAAAAAGATATGAGTAATTTTCAGATAGAAACATTAAGTCAACTAAAATATTCTCAGTGCTTAAATAGGAAGAAAGGAAAATGTGGAGGGAAGAAGAGAGAGTAAGAGAAAGGAGACAGGAGTAGAAGAAAACGTGGGAGGAGGGGAAAGAAGAGGGACTGGAAGAAAGGCATTTACAAGGAATTTTTACCCACTCATAAGTGAGATAGAATCAGAGTTCCTTTAAGATCAGAATCACAAAATTTGGGACTTGGAAGGGATATCAGAGATCAGAGACCAACCCACAAAACCCAGAGAGTTTTATCGACCTTCTTTATCTCTACATCATCCGCTATCACGGAGATAGAGTTCCCAGGTATCAGGTTTATCACCCTTAATCCAGACAATTGGACTCTTCTGTACCTGGCTCAGAAATTTTAAAATTGAGTGTAGGGGCTGGCAGCAGGCTGATGATAAGCTGGGTGGTATGCAGGGGGCCATAGCACCAACCTTCAAAATATGCAGTGCTTTACAAATGTGAAGTGACAATGAAGCGGTAAGGATGAGAACCCATTAGCAGATAATTGAGAGTTTATTATATTCTTATTCCTGTGGAACAGAAATATTTGTAATTATGTCCCTTTCACTGTCTGAAACATGTTTTATGTGGGTCGGTAGCAGTTGCAAGCTTTGATCACTAATAATTATGCTCCTACTCAAAGACCAAGCACCCATACCAAGGAGTTTGTGCATAAACAGCTTTTCTTGTGCACCAAGTTTTTCCTGTACGTTGAGGACCGGTGATTGCATTTACATAATGCACATCTGCAGATGTTGAGGAAGTAGGAATTCATGTCAGCTGGCCCTATTATAGCAGGTACCTGAGCCTAGTCTATGACTGGCTGAAAGATGGATCATGCAAGGATTTCTTCTCAAGATTAGGGAGGTCCACCTGGATGAGAGTGGATGATCTCTTTTCTGCTCCATGCCTGGTCTTATCAGACACAAACTGGGAAATGGGGAAAGTTTTCTCTAGTTACAGACCCATAGGGCTCAGTAAATGAAATTTTAAAGCTCTACTAAGATGGCTCTGCTTACAAGACTGTAATTTGTAGTCACATTAAATATCGCGAAATGGGGAAGGGCAAATGCTAACCCTCTATGTAAAAGTATCTTATTAGGAAGGAAACTGTGCCTTGAAATGCAAATTGGAACTAAAATTCAGAATTAAGATCAATATTGGAAAATGTACTGTATTTTCAAGAAATATATATGGAATAATAAAGTAAAAACATTTGCTTTCAAGCCCCACTTAAAAAATAAAACAAACCTTAAACTCTTTGAAAGTAGAAAACTGAAGGGCATGTGCCTAAACACTATCCAGTTCATCTTCCTTCAGATATTTAACTCACTCTTAGCAACACAGTTGCATCTCTAATATCTCCTGTTTTGATTAGAAACCCATAAAAGTAAGTAGTGTCTGTCTGCTTGTTAGCCACTGATCAAAGCAAAATATAGAGCTCTTTTTGAATGAAAGGCATTTCCCCAGTGCCCCACACCAGGACCAAAATGACCCTCTTGTGGGCCTATTATATCCCTATGAACTCATTACATTGTTTTCTTTTTAAAGCAATAGGAAAAATGCAATTCTCCCCTCTCCCCACCCCCAAGGGAAATCACATTATTTTAGAAGTAGTATGTTTAGATATACTACCACTCAGTACTAATATTTCTAACAATGTGATTTATCTACATATCAATCAGCATTCATTGAACCTACTATGTGCAAGGTGCTATACTAATTGCAATGGAAGAGACAAAAATAAAGACATGGTCTCTGCTTCCAAAGAGCTTATGATCTAATTCACACATATATGCAATATAGAATCATCATTAGGATTTAGTTTGTGTATCTGCCTTGGGGAAATACAACATATCTAGCATGATTCTTGGAAATTTAAATTATTAGGTGTCCTTTAGAGACATAAGAATTTCAGGGCTTTTTTGTTTTTGGCTGTCTACTTGATTCCTGAATTTATAAATTCCAAGGAGATAGTAATTGGCTCCACACTTCAGCTCCCTGGAGGGTCCCTTATTGGAGGAGTATAAATAAGGGATCATAGCACCATAGACTTAGAGCTAGAAGGGTCCTTAGAGATAATTTAGTTCATCCTCTTCATTTTACCAGTCAAGACTCAGTTTCCTCATCTGTAAAACCAACACAGTATAGAGCAGATGAAATTTGAATTGAGTCCAAATCTGCAGAGTGTCAGTGGACCTGTGCCTTGCCTC